CCTGCCACAACACCCGGCCATTTTTTGGTTACAGCCATCATTATTGCTTTGGTGGGCCCAGGCTGTATTCGAACCTGCCACCCTAGGTGCATGTGGCTGGCACCCCAGCCAGTTGAGCCACAGGTGCCAAGCCATTACCTCTTTTTCATATGAGAAAATTAGGGGATTAAACATTAGCAAACTTGTCCAATTTCTCCCATGTCAGAAATGATAGAATCAGAAGTCAAGGCCAGGGCTGTTTTTATCCCTCTTTTCTGATTCCACATTTTAAGCTAATCTTTCAAAAAATGTATGAAGTCTTAATGTCCTATAAGTTGTTAATGACTGAGACAGGAAAGAATTGTGTCAGAACTGTGGTTTTAAGTCCATGATTGCTCCTACTTTGGCCCTGGTGTACACATGAGAGACCAGTTGGCCCCACTTAGAGTTCACAGAACAGAGGTCTTTTTCAGTGTTTCCTATAGCCTGTGTCAGTGAGTCAAGATTATTTTAACTTTTGATTATTTTTTACTCTCTGAAAAAGTAAATATTGCTGTGAATCAAGGAAACTCTAAAAATGCTGCAAGATTTGCAAGATATAAATTATTCTTTAACTAGACTGAGTATTAATACCGAAAAGATTACATCAGCCCAAAACCATAAAAAATAAGCAAATGTTTCTTGAGTTTGTCTGGTTGTGAACCTTAGCTCTATTTACAGAAATTTGATAAGATTGGCATCCTGAAATGAGAGATGCATGTGAATAGAACATTTAATTTGATACTGCAGAAATTTGATTAAATGCACAAAGGGAGTTGTGTGGATTAATTGAAGAAGCACTGAACTATCAGCTCTGGGAATGAACCTCAATCTCATCATGGGCCCTAGATAAAATGATACTCCTTGTATTGGCTGTGCTTTCAGAGATTAAATATTTATGAGGCAGCTTAGTTTACTAAATATAACATTTAACACAGCTTCAATTTTTTGCTGCCCTTTCTTTCAATCCCTAGAGTGAGATTTTTCTTAGCCTGAATTCTTAAAGCTGAAAAATTATTTAAAAGGCTAAAAATTTAATCTGTTCTCTTTATATAATCTCCCCTCCCTCTTGAAAAGAATAAACAGGAAATAGCACTGTTCAAAACGACTATTATATTTGACGTCATTTCTTTATTTTTCCCTTAGCAGACATCTTTCATGAAATTAAAAGCACAGCAATTTAATCAGTAGGAAACAAAGAATCAGTATCAGCTCTTAAAATCCTGGGCTCAGTACAAATGGAGCTCTCTAGGATGTCATCAGGGGCCTCTCAACTCTGCTTATCAAAATGCTTTACAGATTGCATCTTGTAAGTTACTGAAATTACAGTAAATGACATTTAATTTTTGCAATGCTTTCTCCACTCCTGGTTAGTTGAAAACAAATGAAAAATAGAGCCTCAGAGCTATACTCCATCAGTATGATTGCTACTGAGAGCAGAAAACTATGAACAAAATTTATTTGATGATTGAGTGTGCTTTTATACAGACTCATGATGCTTAATCAAAGAAGGACAGATTCCGGGTGTCATATACCCATCTGCTCATAATACTCATTTATTCATTCAACAAATATGTATTAAACCCCTAATCTGTAACACACTATTGTAAGTGTTAGAGAGACAGATGTAAATAAAGTAAACAAAATCCCTACCTTTATAGAATGTATTGGGAAATATGCTTAAACTTGCTTTTAGGAGAGTGGGATCATGTTCAGAACTTCTGTTCGAATCTCTTATATTGAACTTTTAGGTGCCTCTTTAGCTCCCTTTTAATTTTAATCTCTGCCATATATACCACCCACATATTTTGTTACTGTTGATACATGAATTCTATTTCTTCATCTGATGGAAGTATTTTTTATGGCAGTTGGTATCTCTAATAACGCCAATGATTAAAATAACCTCCTAAATAAAGTTCAGCTTTCTTACCTCTTCAATGCTTGTTAGCTTGAGATGAGCAGCCGCTTCATCTTTGGTAAGAAGAATGCAGTTCCAAGGGGACCACTCCAAGGACTTATCCCATCTGACCATGACCAGATCATTGAGATCTTTCCAGGCACTGAGTATGGACTGGGATGCCCAAATGTTTTCTATCAGGTACTGAATATCTTGTAGCTTCATGTAAAAACAAGTTTAAAAAATAATATCATTCTCTGCTAAATGTAAATGTTTGAGATTATTAAATTACTTGAGGAAATAAATTACATATTTTTATTCAATATGTATGCTGGTTAATTTCATGCATTAACTTGTCTGGGCCACAGGGTTCGCAGATATTTAGTTAAACGATATCGGAGTGTTTCTGTGAGAGCATTTTTGTCAAGATTAACATTTAAATCGGTAGACTGAACAAAGCAGGGCCTAATGTGGGTGGGCCTCATCTAATCAGTCGAAGGCCTGAATGGAACAAAAGTCTGAGTTCCTTCCTCCCAGTAGGGAGAATCTCCCAGGCCTGTCTGCCTGATGACCTTGGAAGGGACACTGGCTCTTGCTGATTCCACAGCAGCTTGCAGGCCTTCAGGCCTGAACCAGAACATTAGCTCTTTAGATTTGGGACTTGTCAACCTCCCAAACTGTGTGAGGCAATTCCTTATAATTATATATACGTGATCTCCTGCTCATTCTGTTTCTCTGGAGGAACCTGAATGTTGCAGAATGAATTATTGAGGTGATATTTGTAGGTTGAAGTATATTTAAAGCCCTAAGAAATCTAAGATTCCTAACAGGAAAATATATATCTGTCATATCAACAATTCTTGGAAAAAAGCATAAAAGAATTTAAACTCTGAAATAAGCATCATCTTTATTAATAAAAATGTGTTCTATTGAAAAACTATGTATTCGTTTCAGTTTGTGTTTTTCAAACTATGAGTTCCCACCTCTTTAGTGACAGCAAAGTTTTCCAAGTGGAAATTATAACAAGAAAATTTGGATGGAATAGAAAATATCAGAATGTATCCATAGTGGTAAAGGTCAATTTTGTTTTAAGAAACATTTGTTTCTGAGGGAGAACAGCATGTGTTTACATGTATGGACTCTGGGAACCAACTGCCTAGATCTGAATCCTAGCAGTGGTACTTACAAGTGTTAACTGGGCAAGTTAGGTAACCTCTCAGTACTCAGTTTTCTCATCTGCAGAATGAAAATAATACCTTTTTTTTTTCTTTTTTGCAGTTTTTTGCCAGGGCTGGGTTTGAACCTGCTACCTCTGGCATATGGGGCTGGGACCCTACTCCTTTGAGCCACAGGTGCCACCCAAAACTAATACCTATTTTGACAGAACTATGGCACTGATAGAATCAATAAAGTGTGTTGAGTCATGTAAGCATTATCTGAGTGTTTTACTATCAAATTTGTCTAGTACAAGCATGCATGATAATAATGATAGTAAAAAGAATTTTTACTATAAATTGTGATTTAAAAGTTTGAAAGCTAAAAAAAAATAAAATAAAATAAAAGTTTGAAAGCTGTTGATTCAGAAGAATTTCTGAATTTTACATTTGGAATCTTCTTTATTCTTTTTTTTGCAGTTTTTGGCCGGGGCTGGGTTTGAACCCGCCACCTCAGGCATATGGGAACGGCGCCCTACCCTTTTGATCCACAGGCAACACACTGGAATCTTCTTTTAAATCCCTAAAATTTTTATTCATAGAAGGGCCTATTTTCATAGTAGTCCATTATGAAAGTTTTGACTTCCACAAAAATCAAGAAACATAAAATCTGCATGGATGGAAACAAATGAAGTCCTTCTAGCAACACTGATAAGCTAAGCAAGTTGGAAGTTGCATAGGTGGGCCAGGAGTGGTAGTTTATGCCTGTAATCCTAGAACTGTGGGAGGCCAAGACAAGTAGATCACTTGAGCTCAGGAGTTCAAAATCAGCCTGAGCAAGAGCAAAACCCTGGTCTCTACCAAAAGTAGAAAAGTTAACCATGTGTTCTGCCAGGCACCTGCAGTCCCAGCTACCAGGGAGGCTGAGGCAGGAGAATTACTTGAACCCAAGAAGTTGAGCTTGTTGTGAGATAAACTAGTCTGATGCCACAGCTCCCTAGCCTGGGCAACAAAGTGAGATAAGACTCTGTCTCAAACAATCAATGTTGCACAGGTGAATCAGAAAGGGTACTGTTGACTATGCTTCTTGGAAGTGAAACAATGGACCAAACCACAGTCTATCTGAAAACTTTCCTACTGACCCACATATTCTTAATTAAATATAATTTAGTTAACATTAACTTTTCATTTACAGAAAATGTTGCCTTTTTCAACTGCCTATGAACACAAATATCACAATTGAGATCAACTGTGCTCTATGAGTTACTTTATTAAGAAGCTATTAATGTTGGGTAAAGTCACATCAACAAGTCTTTTTCTTTTCTCACTCCAATACTTAAGTCCAAACAATGTCAGGAATTTCACTTTATTTCGTAGAGATAAAGATTCTCCTTTGGCCTAAATAGCCCAATAGAAATCATGGAAGAACCAAAGAGAGCAAAGTAGTGGTGAAGTTAGGAATTCAGGTCACAGTCCAGGACCTCACAGGCCCAGCCTCTTTCAGAACCAGGAGATGTTCTTATCAAAGGCAGATGACTGACACAGTCAATAATTCAATCCCATTGTTCTTCCAAGAGAACTCTGGTCATAAACTTTCCAGTTATGGGTTGTGATGATATCAAACTGATAATTTAAGTAGACAAGTAAATCTATTCAAAGCCCTTCCCTACAGCATTTTTTTTTTTTTTTTTGCTTTCTATGAGCCTTAATTTTCTCTTTTCCTATTACTTACCATCAGAGTCATATTTGGTATATACTAATTATTATCGTTATCCATAAATGCTAACATGTGCATTTACAACATCAATTTCTGCAAATGCATTCATTCATTCATTCAACAAATATGGAGGACCTATATTTGCTTGGCACTGTGTTAGGCTGCAGAGATGTAATGGGGAGCAGGAGGACAAAACAGGCAGAGCCCTGCCCTACAGAACACACTGTCTAGCAGAATAGTTATTAAACAATCTCACACACACACATACGTAAGACTGCAAGATAGCCTCCTTGACAGAGACAAATTTCAGCTTTGCTGGCACCAGTAATTAATGATACCTGCATTAAGAAAGCAATTTTAGAGTCATCTCCATAATTAGCTTCTGAATAGTAGAGCCTTTGAAGTAAATATTTGTACTTCAAAAACGATTCTCGTTGTCTAGCTTCATTCTCAAGACTAACACAGCGACGGCACCGGCGTACATGTTGTGTGGTAGATAATATGGCAAACTCCGTAGACGGCAAATATAGCTGACAACCCTCACAAAAGTAAATCTTCTTATAAAACTTCAATGGGTCTTGAGGGATCTAAATAGTAAATAGAAAGGAAGGAAGGAAGGAAGGAAGGAAGGAAGGAAGGAGGAAAAAAAGGTATAAAAGTCATGCCAAATACTTCAAACACTGCGTTAACCAACAGAAGTACTGAGGGCTAACTAATCTTAGAATGCAATAGAGTTGGTTAATTTTAAAAGTTATGTTTTTCCCTTAACTTCGTAGTCTATACAAAATTTAAATTTCAAGCAATATTCACTTACCCTGCCAAAATATTAAAATCTATTATTCATCAACCCTCAGATGTATGTGGTAAAATCACTTAGAAAGTGAATTGACAGAAAAAAATTAGTAGGCAGAGGTTTTTAGCACTTACTTTTAAGAAGAGTTTAGATTTTTTGTTGCTGTTACAATAATTATTCCTATAGGCAAAAGCTAGATTCACTTAAGTGAAAGTGAAAGTCCACTACACCAATTGCTTCACTTATTTCATTTATCTTGAAAATAAGTTTAAATTAGTTCAATAATCAGTTTTCAAAGTTTGAAACTCTGCATCTAAAGCAGTGGGAAGGAAATGATTCTACCCCAGAAGATTCTACCACAGTGATTCTTCATGGGCTAAAGTGGCATGAACGGATGAATAAATGAGTGACCATTTCCAGCACAAAATGAACCAGGACTTTCCAAGCCAGTCTTTTCTAACTTATGATTCATCGGTACTTCTGCCCTCCATGAGAGGAAAGATCAAGCTGCAGCAGAGCTGGCATCTGATAATTAAAACCTTCAAAAGTATTTTTTATAATGGAGGAAATGGGCATCAATGTTCTGTAATATTTTTTCTCTTATGCAAGGTGGATCTGAAATAATTAATCTCTTCTTAGGTTTTACTTTCTTCAGAATCTCTGATACTTTCTGCACCTTGCCCTGTGCTCTGGTTTCCTTTTCTTAAATGCTGCATCTTTACAAGAGGTAATATTTTTGAATATTTCATTGACCCAGGCCTCATAATTTTGGGAGGGAAGACAATATGCAAGTGTAAAAGGTAGTCAGTTCTACTGGAGAAAACAAGAGTGATCCAGGAACACGATCCAAGGACTAGCAGGCAACTGCTCTGAGTTCTTTTCTTAGTCTGAGATCACATATTTAATTTAACTCAGACGATTATTTTATCTTCCTGCCTCCTAGCTACTAAACTGGACAAATATATGAGGCAACTTCATAAAAACCAATTAGCACGCCTCTTCCTTATGAATGGATAGACTATTTAACAGCCGTGTAAATATATTCTCTACCCATCTGAAATTGTGCAAGAAAGAAGAGTATCCCCATCATGAGTATGATGGCAAAGGACTTCATTTAAGGTACAGAATTTAACTCTGTAAGAATTATCCAGATAGCATTGAGTGTTCTGTCCTCATTCACTCCCAGAAGGTGAGGGTGGGGAGAGTGGTGTCCTTTCACATTCTTCTCTCGTTATACAAACCAAATAAGGCATTCCCTTTTAATTTCAATAATGTCAGTTTTCTAACCTAGCATGTATTGGGGGATATTGAAGAATATTATCCCTACCCAAAATAGGAGTAAAAGATAATCCATGCATTTGTCCTAGATATAAGAAAAAATAAATCTTAAAACCTTTGTTTTACTTAATATATTTCTTATATATTGCAGGTGGGAATGCAATACGATACAACCAGTTTGGAAAAAAGTTTTGTAGTCTCTTATAAAAGTGAATATGCATTGACCATGAGTTCAACGAAGCCACTTTCTGGGTATTTACCCCCAAATAATCAATTTATCCAAAAACTCATATCAAATACTTATAGTGACTTTACTAATAAAAGCCTTAAACGGCGAACAACCCAAATGTCCACAACTGTGAAACATTACTGTGAACAGTTGTGAAAGATTAAAATAAAAACCTCCTATATAGGCAAACTATAAGAATATTGCTCAACTATAACAAATTACTGATACCTTCAAAAACATGGGAGAACTACAATTGTAATGTGCTAAATGAAAGAAGTCAGTCTCAAAAGGCTACACACTATAGCATTATGCCATTTGTATCACATTCCAAAATAGACAAAACTATAAAAGTAATAGGCTCATCGATGTTTCCCAGGGACCTGGAGATTAGGGGAAGTGTTGACTATCAAGTGGCAGCATGAAGGTGATAGGATTCTTGTTTGTCTTAACTCTGCTGTTGGTTATGTGACTCTATGCATTTTTCAAAACTCATCAAAAAGAGTGAATTTTACCAAAGGTGAATTTTAAAAGTAAATAAAATGATAGGACGTTATGCAAGCTTGTAGAATGTAAAACTTGATTACTCCAAATATATAGAAACTGAGTAGAGAAGAACGAGAATTAGAACTTTTGTTACATTTTAACATTTTTGCAAAATAATTAAGTTTTTAAACAACCAATTTCAAAGGATATAATATAAAAATTTAATTTTTTTTTTTTTTTTTGGAGTTTTGGCTTAACTATTGAGATCTTGTTTTGCAAAAAGAAGCTAACAATGTTTAGTCAGCAAAAATAATCATCGAAATAAAATGCTATTGGCTGGGCGCAGTGGCTCACACCTGTAATCCTAGGACTCTGGGAGGCCAAGGCTGGTGGATTGCCTAAACTCAGAAGTTTGACATCAGCGTGAGCCAGAGCGAGACCACATCTCTAAAAAATAGCCGGGTGTTGTGGTGGGTGCCTGTAGTCCCAGCTACTCAGAAGGCTGAGGCAAGAGAATTGCTTGACCCAAGAGTTTGAGGTTGCTGTGAGCTATGTACCACGGCACTCTACTGTGGGTGACAAAGTGAGACCCTGTTTCAAAAGAAGATGAAGAAAAATAAAAATAAAATAAAATGTACACTTGTTTTGTTTATAACAACAAAAAAATAAAGAAATAGAACACTATCGGTATTGGACGACACCATCCCAAATTTTAGTGAAAGTGCTTTAGATATTTCTCTGTGCAAGAAGGCAATGAAGCATTTATCTTGGCTTTAGATAAAGCGTGAAATCACCACAGAAGCCTGGAGTTGGAGAAGATGGTTCAGTTTAACGACAAGTTACACTTGAAGTTCTCTCAGATTATCTGAAAAGAGATGACTGGTTAATAAGTATAACTGTGTGATAAGTTTGATAAAGAACACACACAGGTACAACACAGAATCTCAACTATGAAGAATTTCACTCTCTCTGAGGCCTCATGAAAAAGGAAGCATGAGAGTTGAGTCTTAAATGACCATGACTTGGCTGGGTGAGATGGGACGGGACTCCAGGGAGAAGGAAGGTCTATGCAAAAGCATGAAGATATCAGGCACATGATGTATTCAACACATTCAACTGGAAAGTTGGTTCAGAGATTAGGAAAGAATTCAGAGGTGGAAATACAGGCGTGGAATAAGTTAAATGAATCAATGACGTGCAAAGTAATCATTTAAAGGAGATTTCACCAATCAGATGATCTTCCACGTGGATTCCAAGTAGTGTGTTAAGGCAAAATTCAAATATATTTCAATTTGCCATCACCTATCTCAGAGTTTTGAAGAAGTCATAAGTGAGAAAGAAAAGAAGAATACCTTATTGTGTCTCGCCACTTCAGGATTAAACAGGGGCGTTTTGATGTAATGAAAAAAGAGTGTTGCAATTCTTTTTCGGAGTCCTTCAAGGTTCTGGGGTTTGACTCCTCTCATCATAAGGTCAACCTCTCGGTCAATCAATTCTAGAATCTCGTGAGTCAGTTTACATTCATGTTCCTACAAAAAACACAAGAATATTCAGTACAAACTTTTAAAAATAACTATATTTGAAATTACCACCCGAACAGACCAAAAACTATATCCTAAAAGCAATAGCACATTGCTAAAAGAAATGTAAATTGGTAAAACGAATTTGAAAAAAAGATATTATCTGATACCAGAGTTGAAGATATGTATAATCTATGACCAGTGGTCTCATACACTTTAGAGAAATATGCACATACAGCTCTATGGTTCACATCAGCCAAAAACTGGAAACAACAAACTATCCATAAATAAACCAATTACATCAATAAATTATAGTTTAGTCATACAATAGAATATCATCTAATGGAAAGGAAGGAACTGTAGCTGTATGCAATAACAAGTTTAAATCTCACAAATTAATTTTGGGCTAAATGAGCAAGGCACAAAAATCATACATACAGTATAATTTTATTCAATTAAATTCAAAAATTGGCAACACTAGACCATATTATTTAAGGATTACAGAAGTGGTAAAACTATGAAGAAAAATCAAAGACGTGACTCCACGAAAGTCAGTATGGTCGTTACTTCAAGGAGACTAGAGGAGGAATTACTTACTATTAGAAGGGGAAGGAAGACTGGAGATGTTGGTGTTATTGTGTTTCATATCAGCTAAACTGTATCGTATGCATATGTATCTTGTATAATGTATGCATTCGTCTGCATGTTTTCTATCACAACGATTTTTAATAAAGTTATAGAAGTGAGTGGCTGAATGAGACAGCTACAAGCAAGAGGTAAGTGGTTAATGTAGAAGTATTTATAAGTAGTAAAATACAAGGAGGTCCCCCCAACTACACAAGGTAAAGCTGCGAGACACACATTTGAATGAAGAAGTCAGAAAGTGAAGCCAGTCGGAGACAGCCTGTACCTCCGTGCCATACTGAAGAAAGCATCCGTCAAGGATCTTGTTAAACTCGAGAATTCAAAAGTGTAACTCAGAGACCAAATATTCTGAGCTGAATTGTCCATTATTTATACTACCATAATATATACCCAACATTCCTGGAACATGTGTTATAAAATGCAAGAGCTATACTAATAGTCCTAATGATATCAGAGTTTTCCCCCTTAACATAAAAAAAAATGCATTGCAATAAATGCTATGGTGGGCTTCCCAGATTACCCTCTCTTTAGCACTGAAGCACCCAGTCTCTCAGCTGCAGGCTGTGGCATCTGACAACTCTCGGCTGAGCCTCTCTCTCTGGGTTTGCCCTCCGCTGAAGAGAGCCGTCTTGGCTGAAGATACCTATCATGAGCAGAAAAACACTGCCTCATGCTAGATCGTGCTTTCTTCTCAGGGACATCCTGAGTCAAATGACTAATCACCGTGAGGTTATAAAGGCCCAGGACCCTATCAAAGTCTCAGGCTTGTGGGAGAAAAAGCAAATGAAATTTGGGCCCGTGTCTAGCTCACGGTAGATCTAATGGATTCACAGGGCCACCCAGAACTCATTTGCCTGGTCCTCAAATATAGTATATAATAGGAATGGAATAGTGGTAGTTGGTCCAGCCTCCCTACCCTTGATTTCTTGGCATGTGGGGTAAAAGCTGACATGATGGGGAAGACAGTATGGACGCCCTTGAAATTGTCCTACCCAGGGAACAAATGGAGTGAAAGTAGAAGGGGCCCATTTACTACCTGGGAAATATTTTTGGACATGTTAAAGGATTTGGGGTTTATTTTTAGCAGTTTAAATTTTTCATTTTTAAGTACTATGGGTTCATAATAGTGTCTCTGCAACTCTGGACTCCTCAAGTTTAGAGGTCGTCATTCCTGGAGGGAAAATGCTTCTCACAGAGCACATAGCATGAATCCTATTAAACCCTGAGCTTTAATTAATGCCTAGACTCTTCAGGCCAAGAGACACGGGGCAAGCACAGCATCGTCATGGCTATAGACCCTGAACTTCCAAGGCAGTGGGGCTATTATCACCCAATGGAGACAGGGAAGAGGATGTTTGGCACTCTCATAATGGGCATTTCTTGGTATACTTTTGCCTAGTTTGACTATTTTGATAGTCAGTGGAAGTCTAGCAACTTCACTTGTGTAGCCCCTTCAAGGTGTCGGTCACCCCAAAAGGTCACCCCTAGATCACTGGAGACACTAGTTGAACATGAAGGAAATCTAAAATGAATAGTAAAGAGACACTGAGTATCTGTTGTGAACTTAAAGCCAATGAGTATAACAGGAGCTGTAGCTTTTCTTATTAACTTTGCTCCCATAAATTTCTCCAGGAAAAAAAGGGGGGGGGGAGCTGTCCACAGCTAGAAGAACTGCTCCTAAAACTTGCAGTGTGAAGCTGTGGATCCCAGCAGTCATAAGTATGTGTGCTGTAGCCAGACCTGAATCACCTGTGCTCCCCCTCCTGCTCAGCTGTTGGCTGACAATGCTCAGCTGAGGCTGTTTCTGAGCATGGCTGGCTGATGGAGAAAGACACCTCATCCAAAGCCACACCCCACATCCAGTAAACAGTCAGTGTGAGAGTAAAAAGTCAGGACAACTCCGAAGGCCTTGCCAGTGTCAGAACTCCCAGTGACACTAGCTGATGTCACTGAGGAGCCTCCACCACAGTTTAATGTGGTTTTTTCCATCTGCCCATTCCTGCCTTCTCTGTTCCCTCATTAGAAGTATCCTAATAGCACTCACTGATTAACTTCCCAGACTCTATTAGTTGGGAAAACCTGACCTGTGATATACTCTAACTTTGTTTGCATTGAAAGTAAGATGAACTGGCTCGGCGCCTGTGGCTCAAGCGGCTAAGGTGCCAGCCACATACACCTAAGGTGGCGGGTTTGAATCCCCGGCCCGGGCCTGCCAAACAACAATGATGGCTGCAAC